ATTAAATATTTTTTGAAAAATCTTATTGAAATAAACATTATTATCGATATCGATACAGAGGCCGATTCTATAGTTTTTAGAATTTTTGTCTGTCTGTTACCACATCACAGAAAAACCACTGTAGGGGTTTTGATAAAATAAGGTATGGTGATAGCTGGTTATCCGGGCCAACATATAGGATACTTTTCACCGCGGTAAAATATCTCATTTCTGCATGTAAGAATATACTTTTATGTAAAACCTAAGAATTTGGATTTTGGTCATCTCAACGCGGGCGGAGCCGCAGGCAATGCTAGTTGCAAATAAAAAAAAACAAAAATTTATCGTTGTCTTCACAATGCAGATGGGCAAATATCTATACGCGAATATAAAGGAAAATGTAAAGCTAACGCTGACCGCGGCTGTATCTATGTAAAGAGTTTTATATCTTTTCTTTAATAGTTTTTAGGTTCTATCTACTGATAAGTTCAAAACTAAACATTAATATTGAGCAATTATCCCACGGGAATGCTGTAACGAGATACATTACAAGTGAGTCCAAGTTAAGGCCAGTATAGGCCAAGTTTCACTTTAATCTGTAATATAATTTCCGTTTAAATGAAAAGTAATGTAGGCTATTGTTAAATATTTATAGTATCGTTAAATTTAGAATATATTAAAAGAATATTTAGAATAAATTAAATTTATTAAAATTATCTCTTATAAAATTTTTATCGACTAGTTTTTTAAATTCTTTTTGTTTTTCATTGTTGGTATTCCAAATAATAGTTAGATCTTAATGTGTAGATCATAAAGTGATCAAGTTTTAGTAGTTGGTATGTTTTAAGTAGAATTGTTTGAATTTAAAGTAGAATTAAGTTGAATTGTGTCATATGAAGGTTCGTTTATTGATGACCTTCTGATTCGCATTTTACTAACATATCGTAATCAAACAGAAGATACTTAGTCTGGTTGGTAATAACAGAGAAGTAGTTACTGATCGCAATTAGATAATGTACGAAACAGGCACATTTAATTCTAATGTAATTGAAACCGAGGAACATAGCTAGTCTATGCTCGCTTTTATGATTTTCATTTCTATAATGACAAATTAACAGTCAAAATCACTAGATTTCTTAATTTTAAATTTAGTAAAAATATGCTTTGAAAAAAAGGGTTAGTTTATATGTAGGTATACAATATACCATTAACGAATTGTCTCTAATTCGTTCATGCAATATACATATTAATTTATTATTATTCTAACTTTTATTATTTGTTAGCCGAATATTTAACGGTATTATTCTTGAAGAAAAGACAAAAATGGTACTGTGATATTCTTGTCTTTATGTTCTATTGATCACACAAACATACAAACACAGCTTATTGGAAATGGTTTAGGTAAATTTAAATTTAGGTTTAGTTAAATTAGTCATTATTGATTTATCTACAATCCGGGTGGATGAACCGGGTACCTAGTAACACGGGTTTATACCTAGTACAGGGCCCAGGCCATATACTCCATATGGGTAGTGTAACGCATATTGTATAAGTTAATAAACATTATTTTTTGTATGTAGCAATTTCTTTGTACTTCAGACCAAGATCTTTATACCAGACCAAGTCTAACACTTGGAGGATCCTATACTCCAACGTTAAAATGCCAACACAAAGATATGTTTGTTGAGAGTTTTAAACAATTCAGATTTTACGGCTCTCATTTACTCCAAGTCGAACCCCAATCGTCGCTAAATCTCTCTATGTATGTTGGTGTTTTTTCTCTCTCCCTCTTTTGTCTCACATCCGTGAGAGACAATAGAAACAATAACACATTAAATTTGTCCCTTCCCCACATAGAAGGGTAATGGATAGCTAATAATTATTTATTTTTGCCCTTGTTATCGATTTCACTTAGGCAGGGGCCAAATTTCGGTCAAAAGGTTTTTAAAGTCGTCCCTTTTTCCCTTTGGAGGTCTATTTGTGGATATGTGTATTGTTTAATATTGAAGTTTTATCTGCCGAGCATACATACTATGTACTATCTATACAGATAAATAAAATTGAAGTGTCTGTTTGTAATGTTAAAATAACAGGGTTTTACTAAATGGATATGAAATTATATACGGACAATGTTTGTTTGTCTGTCTGTTTGTTCCGGATAATCTCTGAAACAGAGTTACAAAAAAACAGAGAAACAAAAAAAGTTGTTTTGAAGATCTTACCAGTAGTTATGTTAAACACTTAACCTTTTATTCATAATTTCTATTAACTAATTAAAACAGACATATTTATATCTATATAAACGTCTGTATAATTTTCAAATAAATATTGTGTACGCCAAAATCAATGTGCATTGTTTACGATATACCCATAAAATGAATTTGAATGCAAAAAAATGTCACCATATTCAGTTCACTCGTAAAAAGAAAAAGATAAGTAGCGAATACAAAATATTAAATGTGACTATCGGTAAAGTGGATGTCATACGGGATCTGAGAGTGCTGTTGGATTCTAAACTGCGATTTACTGCCAACATTCAGCACATCACTAAAGCCGCTCTCAAATCCCTAGGATTTGTCCTTAGGTATGCAAAAGAATTTAATAATGTCTCAACAATCATAACGCTATACAACTGTTTCGTCAGAAGTAAATTAGAGCATTTTATGTAGTCTGGACTCCACAATACAATATACACATAGATAGGATTGAACGAATACAAAAAAAATGATAAAATATTTAGCATATCATTTTGGAGTTCCACGAACGTACTCAGGATATGAGAATAAGTTAAAATATTTCCAATTGTTATCACCACATTCGCGTCGTAATGTACTAGATATGTTATTCTTCTACAAATTATTAAATAACCTAATGGATTGTCCAAAGCTGCTTTCCTCAGTAAACTTTAATGTACCCTTAAGAATTGCGAGAAAACGATGTCCCTTATTTCACACTAAAAAACATAAAACTAATCTAGGAAAAAATGCGCCACTAAATAGATTATCTAGAGCTTACCATGACCTGTGCTTGAAAATTGATGACTTAGACATCTTGCATGACAGCCTCAAGAGTTTTAAAACTAAAATAATACAGTTTTATAATAAATGAACATGATCTTATGACTCTATGTAACTTTTATCAATTATTATTAATTTGTACTATTTTTAATATTATTCCAAGTATTTAGACCTAATCTGAACGTGACATTCCAACTGTTATTATTATTATTTTTATTATGAATTATTAATTGTTTAAAATATCTGTATCTATATTGTATGTGACATTTTATTTGGAAATTTATAATTATAATTGTTTTTTTCTTTTTAATAATTTAAGTATATAGTTTAATAAATAAGATCACTTAAAACCTTAATTAATAATATTATAATTATCATGCTGTATTTACCTGTAATTAAAAGTGCAATTAACATGTTAAGTGTAGTGCCAAGATTTATGTGTTAACCATTGTAACTTTTGTTGGTAAGTCAATAAATAAATAAATGAATACTATAAAAAAATCATAAACTAGCTACTTACACTCGCTTCGCTTGGATGCGTTCCTAGGTACGCGGATTTTGTTCAGAATTTCATGAACAAAATTATTCATGACAAAAATTCTAAGAATCATTGTTTTGGGTTCTCTTATGTTGTTAATAAAGACAAAATTCATCTGAAAATTTACCCCCATGTCAAAATGTAAACTTTCCATTCCTTTCATAATTCTAAAATAGCTCACAATGTATATTTTTTTAATTAATGAAGTACAAAAAATCACGGACAAGTGCGATTCGGACCCGCCCACCGAGGGTTCCGTACAAATTTGTAGGAAATCTTAAGTTTAACTTTAATTTTCAATTTTTTTTATTTTTTGGAATTTTTCCTTTATTTGTGCTGTAAGACCTTGCTTTTTGCCAAATTTCGTGATTCTAGGTCAACGGCAACTACCATATAGGTTTTCGACCCAAAACCTATAGGGTACTTCAACTTGACCTAGAATTGTCAATTTTGGTTAAAAGCTAGGTCTTACAGCGCAAATAAAGGGAAATGTATAAATATATAAAAAATATGTAAAGTAAATATATTTTTAATAACTAACTTTTGGCCGATTTTCATGTATATTTCATATATTTTATTATAGATTTTTAATATATTTATAATATATTTTTTTATACATTTTGACATTTATTTCTTTAATATTTTTTATACTCACGATAAAATAGTGAAGGCATTATTAATTCGATTTTGTCTTTTCAGATTATGAGTATGGATGAATCTGTTTGTATCATCTGCAATAAGGCAGATGATAAGCAAGTGTATGAAATAAAAAAGGTTTTTTGTTTTTTGTATTTTCTCAGAAGATTTACTATAGTAACATATATTTTTTTTCACCATCGGAAAGTAGAGATTTCAACGAACAGAAAACAAACCAACTTTTTGAAAAAAGCTGATATTTTGACGGGTGAATTTTCGATTGAAAATTAGAGTGCTTTTTCGATATTAATTCAAAATAAGGTGAAAAAATAAATATTTTTAATCAAATAAATTACAGCGTATTTGGGACATAAAAAGGCAAGTTTTCACCAAATTTCGTTAAAAAAATTTTTTTTTGTAAAAGTTAAAAATTAAAAACCAAAAACTTGGTTTTTTGAATTTTTCACATAAATTTTGAGGTTATGTGAAAAAAGTGTAAATACAAATGTTTTAGATCTTTTTATTACCTACAACTTTGCCATTTAACTTTTTTCGATAGGACTTTTAGTTTTGCCGGAAATCGAGAAAAACCGTTTTTTACCCTTAAAAACTCATCCCCATCCCTTCCCGACCTCAGATCGCCCGTAAATTATTTTTCCTTTCATTTTTATAATATTCTCCTCCTTTTCTAATGGGTTGCATCCTACTATTATTTTTTTCCACTTTTTATTATTTTTAAAGGCTTCTACCCTGGTCTACTAAGTCAACCATGTTTTAAGAATAAATATACAAAATCAAATAATGATAGAATAGAAGTGAAAGTTTGGGCGATGGTGCCTCTTCGAGTGCAATCATGGTGGATAGCACTTCTGTTCCTGGTTAATTTAGGACAAGGTATGTGTTTTATTATTATTTTATCATAAATCTTCTCCTTAATATATAATACATAATTTAAAATTATAACTCATACTTTTTAATAATTGTGCAAGCACCATTAAAACAGTAAATTCTATAAATTTGTAATTTTATAGCGATCATTAAAAATTAACCAAAAGAGTAAAGATAACGATAGGTTAAAAAAAATATATATGTTAAAATGTTAAAGCTCATTTCTACACAGATAACTTATACCAAAGTTCAGTATGTAGTGGTAAATTATTGTTGTACGACTGCAGATGATGAGATCCTAGGTTCGATTTCCTTAGTCAAAAAGTTGTTGAGTTTTTCTGTCTGTTTCTGTTTCTTTTTAGTAACTGTTCTGAGTTGGGGAATTTTTATTATCCGTTACATAGATGGCTAGTTTAAATGAGATATATATCACAATAGATGATATAATTAGCAAAAAAGTCGTAGTTCGTACATAATTATTTTACTAACAATAAGTTACTGAATATCTACGTATTTAAACTAGACTGCGATTGTGTCTAAATAACGATATTCATTATGTTACAAAATTGTTAGAAATACACACTCTGCTATCACTATCTGTGAACTGGCAACTTTGACGGGACAGCCCGCCATCTTCTTTTTTTTATTCACTCGCGCTCTTACCTTTTTTCGCTTCTATGTCGATGTCCGGTGATCCGAGTAATTTTAAATACTTTCTCATATTTATGTAATCGTTTTCTCTCGCTGTCATCCCCACAATATCTAACAGTAGGTAATACATATTATTAGAAAAATAAAATATATACCTACTGTAAATGATAAGTAATGACAAAGTAGCACTATAGGAAAGATTTTTCTACCTGTCACTTGCACCGTGCTCAATGAACCACAAACTGTATCGAGATTTGAGACCTGCGTCGACTTATAAAAATGTATGGCCTCTCTACAGATATACATTTGTGCTCGTTCTTATTTTTCATAGACTTAGGTAGGTACTCTAAAATTGTACCAAATAAGATATTATTTCTGTCAAATCAATAGTAAGTATATTATAAATTAAATAGTGTAAATACTGGCTGTAATATAAATAAACAGCTACAGATGTAACGAAATGGACTATAATTGCGACGATAAACTTTAAAATGGCGCGCGTTATATGTTCAGAGTATTCCTTGATTATTAATTAACTTATGAAGTATTAAAGTTTATTTTTTTAATCAATAGTCGAGTGCAAGTCAAGTCATCGTTATAAATGTAAAATGACGGAACTCGGTTATAATGAATGGATTTTAATGTTTTTTTTTGGATTTTTTATATCACGAATTAAAAAGTTTACTCATAAAAAAACCGCTGTTTTTAAAATCCGTTAATTAAAAAATCTAAGTTTCTAGAAAACTCTACAAAAATTACTATTATCAGAATTTTTAAATATTAGTTTATTAGAAAGAAGGACAAACAAAGTTTTATCTAAACATATAATAAAACAGTAGCTTAGCGAAATCGAAAGCAATAAAATAGTACTTAAAAATCATTTTTAGGTTTTTTTCATCATTTTTTATTTTAAATAACAGTTTAGGATATATAATGATTTAATTAATTTTCCTACTTAAAAATACTTAAAAAGCTGTAAATAAATAAATATATTATAAAAATAAAAAAAAACCGACTGCATAAAAGCTAACTAAAAACGTTTCATTCTTGCCGCGAGATGTACATACTCCTATGTATGTCTCCGACTGCATAATAATATATTCCTTCGTGAACTTGTTTTCATCTTTTTAGTTAGCTTTTATGTAGTCGGGTTTTTTTTTAAATATATTTATTTATTATTTATACTTATATGTATACCACAATTTACATAAGTTTTTTAAGGGCTATCCCCACAAAATCGTTTTAATCGATATACAAATTATTATGGTTAATATTATTATCGTTTTAAAATTATTATCGAGAAGGTTAAAACAAGTAATTTACAGGTAGTGGACAAGCAACGGACGTGGACGTGCGTATTGTTGCACCAAGCTGGGTCCCTCGCGGGAGCTCGGCCACCCTCCGCTGCATGCACCAGGTGCCACCACAATTGCTATACAAAGTCGAGTTCTTGAGAGCTGGCTCAAAGCTCCTCCAATATGTTAGAGAGAGGAGACCGCCTTACACAAATTACACTTTCCTTGGAGGGAAAATTAATGTGAGTTATTTTTTTTATCGTATAGAGATATTTTGTTGTTTTAATACTATATCGGTGTTGCGCATAAATAAATTATTTCACTTTGACCTGTCTTGGTTTCGTCTGCGAGCGCCTAATTAAAAATAATGATTACATTTTGGCGTAAACGGAAAATACGAAATCATCCTTAAAATCACGATCACAAGCGTATATTAGTAAACGTAAAACGTAAACGTAGTTAGACGTTTCTAATAAATTTTTCCAAAATTTTTTTTTAATTATAAATTTAAGAGTCGCATAGGTGCACTCAGCCCAAATAGTCCAAATGAGTTTATTCATATAATAGTGATAAATACGAGGTCAAAATTAGTCTTATAGGTCACAGGTGTGGTTAAATGTGAGTAGTAGTCTTATATGAGTAATGCTCATAATACATTATACCTACTAAAATTCATTAAATATGGATGAAATGCAACCACGAAACAATTATGACTTTGCTAAATGCATATTTTAGAAAATTCACGTGCAATATTAATATTGTTGGACCAAGTTAAACATTATTCTATCGCGGTAAAATACCGCAACTATGAAAATACAAATACTAAAGTACAATGATAAATGAAGGCATTATCTTCATTCTAGAGGCTATTAAATTAAATTTATTTGAATTTAAGTACAATACCAAGCATGTATATATCTTTATTATTTTCTATTATAATAATGTTAACAATCTACATACATCAGTATTCTACGTAGTTACACACTTACAGCATACCGAAAAGTTATTACCGGTTTTTTCGGAAAAACACTACGTAATTTTCAAGAAAATGGAAAAAAAAATATTCAAAGTATTGATCATTTGATTCTATACATCTTGCCCATCTTTCAGGCAATTTCTGGATGCCATCTCAAAAAAACTGTTTGTCCTTTGAGCAAAACCATTCATCAGGCCATTTTCTAACTTCTTCAAAATTAGCGAAATGCTGCTGTGCAAGCGTGTCCCATTGATGTGAAAAGTTGATAGTCGGACGGGGCAAGATCTGAAGAGTAAGGCGGATGCGATAATATGCCCCATCCAAGTGCTTTTAACGCTTCCTTGACCGGTTTTGCTTTATGAGACGGCGCGTTATCGTGTCGTGCGTAAAATCACAGTATTTTCGGACCTATTCTGTACATTTTTCGATCAATGCATGGTTCAAATTGATCATTTGTTATCGGTAGCGATCACTTTAAACTGTTTCACCAGGTTTAAATAGTTCGTAATACATCATGCCGTCCTGGTCCCACCAAACACAGAGCATTGCTTTGCGACCAAAACAATTTGGCCTGAGAGTCGATAGGCCGGCTTCGCCGGGTGATAACCATGATTTTTTGCGTTTAGGGTTTTCAAAATAAATCCATCACTATTCGATGCAGAAATGACTTCCGATCATACCTTTGAAGCAGTATTTCACAGACGATTTTACATTTGCCTTTCATTCAATTGATGTGGAACCCATCTTCCCATCTTTTGGATTTTCCCCATTGCTAGTAATCGGTCGCTAATCGTTTCTTGGGCCATATTTAATGCTTCTGATAATTGTTTCTGAGTTTGGGTTGGGTCGTCATCCAATAACTCCTGCAGTTTCGCATCTTCAAACTTTTTCGGTCTACCAAAACGTTCATTGTCTTGCACATCGAAATCACCACTTTTGAATTTTCGAAACCAAGCCTCATTTGATTTTAACGTTAGAGAATGCTTACCGTAAGTTTCTACGAACTAACGATGACTTTCAGCGGTTTTTTTTATTATACAAGAAAAGTAATGCGTGCCGCAAATGCATGTTTTCAGGCACGAAACTTGACATTTTCAAAGAGGTATAAATCTATGACGGTGAAGTCTTCGCAAAATATAACAAGTATAGCTTTGAAGCTTAATGTCAGTAGAATAAAATGACATTTGTGTCAAATCATAACATTGCATAAAATCGGTAATGCCTTTCCGGTACACCCATGTAAGTTAAGAATTTAAAATCATATTTTTGTTCATTTGGTTAGTTTACTCATAGTATTTATTTCATTCCCAATTTTCCATAGGTGCGGTTCGCTGCTTGTTCGAAAGAAATTATTGAAATGAGTTTATTGCAGACAGTAAATTAACATTCCCTCAAAAATACAACTAAATTTAAAATTGAATTCATTTTAAGTCGATTGAGAAAGACAATAGACAAAGTAATATTCATTAAAAGTACTATCTATTTTTCTATTAGTCCCAAGCGTAATCCACGTCATTAGAAAAAATTTAAAAACTTTTCAAAAATGTACCCTCCACTTATTTTTAACTAGATAGTTGCGCAGTATAAAAGTAGCGTAGCAAGATATTTTCCTTCACGACCACGACTTCAGTAGTCCTATTCCGTAAGCTCGTCAGCTAAATCCGCAAGCATTCTTCATACAGTTGTACGGAGTGTAATCTCAGATTCAGCTGTCTTATTACATAAAAGTTCTTACAGAATAGCACATCTGGCGGTGCCTAAAATATTCAAAGTATCACTAAATTATAAAATAATACAAAGGTATTACAGATGTCTCTCGTGACAGAAAACTCTGTCACGCTCGAGGACCTAGATCCAATCGCCTCAGGGCTGTACTGGTGTGAGGTGTCCCTTGAGGCGCCTATTTTTACAGCTGCGTCACCACCTCATCAGCTTACTATTGTATGTAAGTAAATAATAATTGTATTATTTAGTTTATAATTTAGCAAAATATCTACTAAATTACCTTAAAAATCGTGTCTATGGCATATACCATTATCTAAATTACCTGGGGTACCGATCTTCATTGTGCTTTTTTTCTTGTAAAATCGTGTTTTCTCGGAAATGATATAAATATTTAATTTTTTTCTTCAGAAAATAAATGTATGAATAAGATTAAAATGCACAACTTTATCTAAATAAAAAAATTGATCTAAATCGTTACAGCCATTTTTGATATAATACACTAAATAAATTTAAGAATTGTTCATATTATAAGATATTAAAAGATAAGTTTGTACCTCTTTTAAGAACATTGGCCGTACGGAGGAATATGAAAACTGGCATATTCAAAGTTTATATGGAGAAAGGCCGTGTGTGTGTTTTGACCGTGGCTCGGCTCGCGTAGTTTATTACCATACAAGTACTCAACTTCTAAATCTGCAGCCTCATGTTATTCATAACCTTCATATTATACAATTTTATATTAAGTAATACGTAAAGCTGTAGGATTACAGACTGACAAGCAGAGTCTCTTTTGTAAACATACATACATATATTTAAAAAATATTTTCAATATTTGTGAATAGATCCACAAAAGCATCCGCCTATCATAACATTTGGTAACCCGGACGTGGTGGTGGGCGGGCTCCTTCGTGCCAACTGCACGAGTGCGCCGGCCGCGCCCGCTCCTAAGCTTACCTGGTATATTGATAATGAAAAGGTAAAAAGATATTTATGTGACTTATTAAGTTCTATTCGGTTTGCTAAAGTTTTTAAAAGGTGAAAATGATATTAATAATTTTTTATGGCCTCTCTACTCTACATAAAATTGACAAAAAAAGTTATACTCGACTAGCGTAACTAAATTGTATAAATAATTAGCTTTAGTTTTCTTATTAAGCTTATTAGTTCTTACTAACCTATAATATGTATACTAGTGACTCACCCTCGCTCCGCTGGGCTCGTCCCTAGTTCGTTTAGATTTCTCAGAAATAAGATATTTTCCTGCAGTAAAAAGTATACTATATGTTGACCCGGATAACTTGCTATCATCATACCAAATTTCATCAAAATATGTTCAATAGTTTTCTCCTGATGCGTTCCTAGACAGACAGACAGAAGATATAAAAATTCTAAAAACTATAGATTCGGCCTAATAGGTATTATAAAGAGGTAAATTTTGTGAGGTTGTAGGGGGTAATATCTGGATCTACAGAACCGATTTAGATGAAATTCGGTAAGAAGTTAGTTTGATACCCTGGGTAGGACTTAGAATACTTTTTATCCCGGAAATCATCCCTTAAGGGGATGAAAATGGGGATGAAAGTTTGTATGGGAAATCAATCTACGGAAGAACCCGAGCGAAGCGAGGGTGAGTCGCTAGTAATGACTATTTCAAAAAGATTTTCCAAAAATATATTTAATGTACAGATTCGACTCGCTTAGAATTTTATTATATGTATAGACTATAGATGTAGATTCTCCTTACTAAGTATTGTTCTTTACGTATAATTATAATATTTTAAAAATTATTTGTAGGTTCCTGATGAATCTACAAGGTATTTCTCTTATCGTGTGTCAAGCTCAACACGAACTAAAGGGGGTGGCATTCGACATAGAAAGTACCAGCATAGATATATCGCGCCAGAATTGAATTACACTGCAAAATATTGGGCATTAGTTAGCGAAACAACGATATTACCATCTGCTAATTTGACTAAGCAAAGTAAATGCACTTTGAAGAACGATCAAAATGTAGACTTTGTTAAGGTAGGTATATGGTACATAAAAATCTTCACTATATTTTTAATTTATTGAAAGTCAACAATGTACCAACAGTTAGGAATGAAATTACCCGCAAAATAACTGACGAAAGTAACCGGCCACGCAACTTATGTTTTTTATTAATGTTAATATGCGCTTGAGCTCCTAGTATCATAATCAACGGTAGGTTATTGATTTTTTTGAGCCCTCATAAGGTTCCTTGCATATGTAACTTTGGGCTTTTTTGTGCACTGCGTTGTGCAGCAATACCAATGATTCTTTCTCAAAGTTTGTTTCCTGTATATCTTTTAGTTTTAATGCGTTTTACCAGGTTTCTTGTTTGGAGTTCTAGCTTCTTATGTATTGTATTCAACCTTTTTAACGACCCACTGCTGGGCACGGGCCTCCCTTCAATACGAGGGGAATCAAGCCATAGTCCACCACGCTGGGCAAATGCGGGTTGGCGGACTTCACATGTCTTTTGAAACTTGCTAGGTTCTCTCAGACACGCAGGTTTCTTCACGATGTTTTCCTTCACCGTTAAGACAAGTGGTAATCATGTTGGAAATGAATCGCACTTGGAAATATCAGAGGTACGAGACTCGAGCGCGTTACCACTGGGCTATAACATACCTACACACAAAAAATACACTCAAAATGAGTAATTCCGCCATTTAAATAAATCTTATTTGAGAAAAGTTTCTCGATTTTATTTCGATTTTTGGCTGTCGACGTTCGAACCTAAAATAAAATTCGTAAAATCTTCGAAATAGTTCTGTATAAAATGTCATACATTTGCTATTTACTTAGATTGACAAGAAAGTATTAATTACTCCTTTTTGAAATAAGTCAAAAATAGTTAATTTTCCAATAGATTCGTGAAAGACCAAGAGAAGTATTACCTCCCATATCTCTATGGGTGTCTATCGCCGAGCTCCGCACGCCGGCGCATGGGCGACTGCGGCTCACGTGCACTGCGACTATACCCGATAAAGTGGGCCCCGGAGAGCGATATGCTGATATTAAAAAACAAACTGTCACAGGTAAACTATGTTTAAATTTGTTTTATATTAAATTTGGATATAATTCAGCAAAATATAGCACGTTCAAGCATTTTCTTTTACTGAAATAGCGCAATATAATGAATAATTATGAGACTTTATTAACGGATTACTGAATAGTTTTATAACGAAAGACAATGTCCTTATGAATGAATGATATAATACCAGTTTATATGATGTAAAACGGAATATTTGACATATTTTTCGCTTCCTTGTATGAGTTCCTGATAGGTATTTCGGCATTGATCAAGCATACTTCCTCATACAAGGATGTGAAAAATATATCAAATCCTCTGTTTTAGTAGTCAGTGAACATGAAAGCTTAAATCTATACTTCTATACTAATATTATAAAGAGGTAAAGTTTGTGAGTTTTTGAGATTGTGAGTTTGTGACGTTGTAGGGGGTAATCTCTGGATCTACTGAACCGATTTAGATGAAATTTGGTAAGAAGATAGTTTGAGACCCTGGAAAGGACATAGGATATACTTTTTATCCCGGAAATCACGCCCTATGGGGATGAAAATGGGGATAAAAGTTTGTATGGGGAATCAAGCTAGAGCCGAACCTGAGCGAAGCGAGGGTGAGTCGCTAGTACTGATATAATTCTTGTAAATGAAGGCATTTCTAGATAGATTGATAACATATTTGTGCAAAACTGTAATGTAGTAAGTAGTAAGTTATATTTTAATGTTACAAAAGGATTTATATATTTTTTTTCAGTGGCAGTAAATGAATTAAGTTTAAAAAAATCGCGAATAGAAACCACTAACGCAAATGCAACTTCGTCTAAAATACAACAATATCATCCAATTCTACTTATTGGCTTTGGAATTATTATAAATGAGCTTCGACCTACGTACTAAGTGCTAAATTTAACAAATTATATAAATTAAAGGTAGCTAAAAGTATGATGAAATATAAGCATTTTTTTTTTATTTGACGACACGTTTGGCTCAGTTTGTAGTGACCCTACTTGCTGTGCCAGCGGTCGCAGGTTCGAATCACGCTGGGGGCATCCATTTGTGATGAGCACGTATGTTTGTTTTTCCAGTCATGGGTGTTTATATTTATAATATGTATGTATTTAAAGTTATATATGTGTAGTATATCAATTATCCGGTATCCATAACAGAAGCCTCGTAGCTTACCATGGAACTGGATGGTGCTGTGTTAATGTCCCAACATAAAAAAAAACGTTAAGGTCTTAGACTGTGTTCTAACATAATTGTTATTTGACTTAAAATGAACACACCGACTGGTGTTTTGGTAGTTCAATTATATATATTAATAGAAAGCTAATGTATGACCAACAAATATATTATTATATTATTTATTTTAACCATTCCTAGTTACGTAGTTATAGGCAATATGCAATATATCTATAGTTATAATATGAAGTTAGTAAAAATATAAAAGAATCTGTGTTCGTTTCAATTTCAATTCAAGATTTCACTATTTAATATTAAAATTTACTTAAAGGCTTTTTAATTTAAACATATCGTCATTAATATAAATGTTAAGAAATATTACGAGCATTAGCTTTTCGCAGTTACTTGACTTATTAAAGTCAATAAAAACTTTTTAACAAAAAAATAAAAACCGACTTCAAACAAAAGCACTAAAAAGTAATAAATAACTGATTGGTAGTTTTCATTTACTATACATACCTAATCAAATATTTTCGAAGTCGGTGTGCTTTGCTTTGTATGGGCTGGCACCGATTTCGAAAATATTGGATTAGGTATGTATTTAATAGGTAGGCTTTAATTACTTAGCCAAAGCACACCGACTTCGAAAATATTTGATTAGGTATGTATAGTAAATGAAAACTACCAATCAGTTATTTATTACTTTTTAGTGCTTTTGTTTGAAGTCGGTTTTTATTTTTTTGTTAAAAAGTTTTTATTTTTCCCTTTTTAGTGTAGACAGTAGTAGAAAAGTAAGGATTCTAACGTGTTAGGCTTGTCAAATCAAACAAAATAAGCCCAAACTCAAAGTATCTACTGTTAGCCGTTGAAGAGTTTCACCATCCACCTTCTGGCCTTGCCATCAGATCAGGTCAACAACACCAAACTATGTACTATCAACGGAAATAGAAATACTTGCAAAGTTTCAAGTCAATATGACAATTAGAAGTAGGTTAAATTCATCATTCGTTGTTTTTCCACCCTTAGGGGTGGTATTTTTTTTGAAATTTAAATGGGACCAATCTGGAAGTATACCCTTTCAAACGACACAAAAATTGTCCAAATCGGTTAATAAATGACGGAGTTCTGAGGTAACAAACATAAAAAAAAAAAAAAAAAAAAAAAAAAAAAAACATACAGTCGAATTGAGAACCTCCTCCTTTTTGAAGTCGGTTGAAAATTGAAGTGTTGTATGAACTACTCAAAAGTATTTAAAAAGTTCTTATTTTCTTGATATAAATCAAGTTTTTTTGTAAAGGCAAAGCAACTGAGTTTAAAACTAAATAGTATTTATTGGTGTTATTTTATTATACATAATGTGTGTAAAAATATATTTTTGTAGTATTATTTTCTATAAAATATAAACGAGAAAGATATTAAGATATAAAACAACAGATATAATAAGTACTAGCTCTTAACCGCAGCTGTTTATGGTTCTTATAACTAGAAATATTTATGTGTATGTGTATATATATGTAAGTGTTTTGTTTAAAAAATGAATAATATGTACATTATGAGAATTTATTTTGATGTTTTATCAATTTTATAAAGATACGAAAAACAGAACGGGGATACCTAATCGGTTTATATATTTCGCTAATTATAAAACAAAACAAATAGCCGTGCAATTATGAACATGCTATATTACTAGTTCATCAAACAATTTTTGGCTTCCAGGGCCAAAATAAACCACAAAATCACATTAACTGTATTATTTATTATAATGGACCTTTAGGAAGGCTAGAGATACGAGATTTATTTTGATTTTTGGTTCCCGACGTTTCTAATGCTTTACAGAAATCATGGTCAAGGGAGAGACTAACGTTTTAGACGTCACAAAAGCTTATATAATTGTTACAGACAGTACCTACCATGAACGAATTAGTGGCTAATTCGTTCATGGTACCTACCTACAAAATTACAAAATTATTTCAAAAATATTTACAATATTTGTTTATTGGGAACCAAAAATCAAAAAAGAAAGAAATCTGAAAAGATAATTTTATTTAAAACTTAAACAACACTGGCAAATTTTAGTCTAAAATCCAAAGCGAGGTTTCCTTCACCCGTCAGCTTACCGGTAGATAAATATAATATGAAGGAAGTACATACCTACTATATTTTAATAAAGTGTGTATAGTTAATGGTTTCAATATAGAATTAAATTGACAAGAAATATTTAATGTTAGTAATAAGTAAATATAATTGCCGGCATTTGTTTTGACTACTTAGGGCTGATTTATCAATCATTATAATATTATTACTTAGTGGGCACCAAAAAGATATAAATAAATACAATACAAAATATATAAAAAACAGTTGTACAGACGGCGATCTTATCTTATATTATATTATTATATTAATGAACAAAATAGTTCAATTCTTTTATTACATGTTAATAATATGCAGTCAGGTTTAAATTTAACAGATAACTTTTATCTGACGATGTCAGCCCTAAGTGAGTAATATACAAGGCTCGGTGTTACATGTCTTCCTGCAGCTCTTTACACTGAATTGTAGAAAAAGTAACTTTTAAGCTAAGTGATGTGATAAGTTGAAATATGAAAGAGCGAAATATATTTGAAAATAGAATTGGGTTTAAAAGTTATTAATTTAGTTAAAAAGTGCAACGTTATCAACCTACAGTCGCTTCAATTGTATGTTTTATATTAATAAGCATAACAAAAGTATATAACTATAGCAAAAGTACCTACATTACTTCGTGATTCGTCTATTCTTTCTGCCAGATCGACTAATTTTTTTTGTTTTAATACGTAAAATCAAATAAAATCTGTTATTTTAGATTTAAAGAAAGTATTCGCCTAAAGTTTAAAATACCGCTTTTACCTATTAAAAACTTTCATTGTATTTTTAGAAACTGTATTGTTGATATGATTGATTTCACATAATGATAATATTACGAAATTAATTTTATCAGTAAAGCATGAAGCGATTGTTGGTAATGTTTTTTTTTTCTATATTTGGGTCAATTTAAATAATTGTGGTAAGTACCTACGTTTAATTTTATCAAAGTTTGTAATTCTACAATGTGGTGAAATAAAAGCTATTAATAAAAATTAAATTGTATTATTTTTCTTTAAACGAGCAATTCTTGTGTATATATATCGAGATCAAGTTTTCATGCAGTTTTCTTTTGCATTATTCTACGCAAAATATGGTCGGTAATTTGCACGCTCGAGCATAAGCATCGTGGTCAAGCGGCCAAGGTGCAAGATCAACAATCACAGGTGTCCAAGTTCGAATCTTGGTCGCATACAAAGTTTTTACTTTTGTTTTTTTTAATATTTATTCAAGTTTTTAATTAAAAAAAAAAGAATTTGTACTTTAGGCCAAAACCTCCGAGCGAAGCTCGGTAGCCCAGGTACATTATACTACAAATGTACACACACACACACAATACTTATTAGTGTAAAAGTTTAAAATATGAAATTAAGTGAAGGTCATCGATGACGACTTTAAAACAACTAAAAAGATTTTTTTTTTACCCTTAGGGGTTTAATAAGGAAAGTATTCAGTAATCTAATGCGGCGCTATATGACTATGATTGCAACGATATTTAGATAAAATATATTTCTTTATATACACTTCAGGTAGTCTATACTATACGATTATTTTGATAGAAATTTTACGAATATACTTTAATAAATTGTTACTCGTTAAATCAGAAAAACGTAAAAAACAGGCTATTCATTGTTTTATAATTGTGTGACGTATATAAATATAAATACCTGGGAAACCGAGCTTCGCTCGGTGTTTTTTTCTAAAGTCGTGTTTTTTCGGAAAAGACATTATAATATATAGATAAATTTTATAAGCAAAACCTTAGCTAAATTCAAATTTTGATCCAAATTGTTAGAGTTGAATTGTTAGAGTGTATGTACGTGTGTAATCGACGTGTGTATAGATGTTCCCTATGGACTCCAAATCAAATCAAAAAAATTGGAGCGATTTTGATGAAATTTTCAGACAATCTTCTAGCCTAGCGGGTAACAATATGAAGTTTTGTTGCGATCGGATCAACAGAATTAGAATATTATTAAAAACATAAAACTTGTGGCTTATGTTTTGACTACCCACAGTCAAATTATTTAAAAAAAAATTGTAGTTTGCGTCGAACAACTTCGTATTATATTAACATGAATATTGATTTGCTTACTGTAAAGCTTATTTAATTAATAGAGCCTTGCGATACTCAAACTACGACTTAAATAAAAATTGTAAACTACAGTACGGTCTATAATATAAAATACTAGCGACTCACCCTCGCTCCTCTCGGGTTCGTCCCTAGTGAAAATTTAGGTTTATATGTATTTTTGTATGTTGTATCATAAAAAAATAGAAATTAAAAATTTTGTCTAAAAAAAAAAAATTTGGGGTGGACTACCCCTAACATTTAGGGGGATGAAAAATAGATGTTGGCCGATTCTCATAGATACCGGATAAGCACAAAAAATTTCATCAAAATCGGTCAAGCCGTTTCGGAGGAGTATGGCAACGAAAACTGTGACACGAGAATTTTATATATTAGATTTCTGTGTTGTTACGTAAATATGTAAAGAATGCTTGCAAAATATATTTTTTGTAAATAACAAAATCTAAAAATCTCAACTGTCGAGTTAAAGGAGGTATTTCCTTTGAAAGGCTGATTTATG